GATACAGCATGGTCCTAGCCTAGAAACAGACCTGCAGACCAATGGAACAGAGTTGAATATTCTGTCACAGACCCCCAAATATATGACCAGTTAATCTGTGACAAAGGAGCAAGAAATGTTAAGTGGAACAAGGAAAGCCTCTTCGACAAGTAGTGCTGGGAAAACTGGATAGCTACCTGAAAAAAATGAACTCTGACCTCTGTCTAATGCCAGGCACAAAAGTCAGATCAAAGTGGATTAAAGACCTCAATATAAGACAAGAATCCATAATGAACATAGAGGAAAATGTAGGCAGAACTCTCCATGACACTGAAGCTAAAAACATTTTTAAGGATGAAAAAGCACTGACCATGCAGGTGGAACCAAACATAAACAAAAGGGACTACAGCAAACTAAGAAGCTTCTGCACTTCAAAAGAAACAGTGACCAAAATACAGGAAGAGCCCATAGAATGGGAAAGAATATTTACCCAATACCCATCTGATAAGGGATGAATATTCAGGATACACAAGACACCAGTAGAATCGTACAAGAAAAAAACCTCCAACCCCATCAAAAAATGGGGAGAAGAAATGCACAGAAGTTTCCTCAAAAAAGAAATACAAATGGCCAAAAGGCACATGAAAAAATGCTCCACATTGCTAGCCATCAGGGAGCTGCAAATCAAAACAACAATGAGATATCATCTCACACCACAGAGACTGGCACACATTCAAAAGAACAAAAGCAACCAGTGCTGAGGTGGATGTGGGGGAAAAATGGAAACTCTTTCACTGTTTGTGGGAATGCCCACTATTCTAGCCTTTCTGGAAAACAATATGGACAGTCCTTCAAAAACTAGAAATTGAGCTTCCGTATGACCCTACAATACCACTTTGGGAATATATCCCGAGGATACAGAAAAGCACAGTAGAAATGACATCTGTACCTATACGTTCATTGCAGCACTGTTCACAATATCCAATCTGGAAACAACTCAAGTGCCCTAAACAGATGACTGGTTAAAGAAACTTTGGTACATCTACACAATGGAATACTATGCAGCCGTCATGAAAGATGAAGTCATGAACTTTGCTTATAAATGGATAGACATGGAGAGTATCATGCTAAGTGAAATGAGTCATAAAGAGAGGGACAGAAATAGAAGGACTGCACTCATTTGTGGAGTATAAAACAACATAACATAAAGCTGACACCTAAGGGACAGATAGATTTCTCCGTAGCTGGAAGCCTGCCTCATGAGCAAAGGTGAGAAGGAAGGCAGCTGGAATAGAGAAGGGATCACTAAGAAAAAGATGGCTGGAGGAATCGGCCGGGATGGGAGATGTGTGCAGAAAGTAGATAAAGGACCAAACATGATAACCTCTCAGGGTCTGTATTGCAAACCATAATGCCCAAAAGTAGAGAGAGATTATGGGGAATCATATCTGCCATGGAGGCAGGGGGAGGGTGGGAAAGGGGGGGTATACCGGGGATATTGGTGGTGGGGAATGTGCACTGGTGGAGGGATGGATGTTTGATCATTGTGTGATTGTAACCCAAACATGAAAACTTGTAACTATCTCACGGTGATTCAATAAAATTTTAAAAAATAATAATAATTATGGTGTATAAATAAAGATATTTTTCCAGACAAAAGTTATTGTAATTTTTCACCATCAGGTCTACACTATAACAAATATTGGGAGAAATTCCACATGAAAAGAAATGAGCATAAAACTTTGAGTAAGGCAATAAATATCAATGCTGAAGTAGAAACAGAAATAACAGTGACATGAGATAACAACAAAATGTGAAAGGAATAGAGTCTATGGAGATTGAATGACAATGAGCTGATATGAGGACAACATCCTCCTATTTTAATTATAGTGATTTGATACTACAAAGAAAAGTATGGAGCAGAGACACTTTTAAGGAAAATGAAAAAATTAAGATAATTATCTGGGGAAACCATGCACTTGAAATGACATACATAAACAAATAGAAAAAGAAATAATAGAAATACCAAACAGTCAGAAAAAAGATTTTATCCCCATATGTAATCACTTTAAATGCGACTGAACATACCAATCAAAAAATATATAAAACAGAACAAATAAAAAAGCAGGATCTATTAATACTTCATATACAAGAGTCTTACATCAGATAGAAAGACAAAGACTCAGAGAGAAAGAGTGAAACAAAGTGTTTGAAGGCAGAAAAGTAGAACAGAGCAGGAACTCTTATTCCCATAATCTGATAAAATTAGCTTTCAAATAAAAATGGTAATAATAGACAAGGCAGGCATTATATAATAGTTCAGGGGTTAATTCATCATGAATATATATCCACATATAAAGTAAAGTAAAGTAAAGACCCTCCCGTTGATCATCGATTTGCTCGAGCGGGCCCAGTAACATCTCCATTGGAGACTTTGTATGCACACCAAAATATACAAAACAGTGGTTAATAGACCCCAAAGAACGCATTGAGAGAAATACACTAATTGTTGGAACCTCAACAAGTTAGTTTTAGAAAGGTCATCTAGACCAACAATTGGTAAGGAAATAGTGGCATTAATATAATTGCGATGAGTTTATAAATATACAGAGAAACTTCTATTCCTGCCCCACAAATAAATGCATGTTTTTCACAAGTGCACATGGAATATTCTCAAAAGACAGATCATGTGCTGGTAATTTCAAATAATGTTTTACTTTTAAAATTTAAAGTACCATGATTTACAATTCTGTTTGTTAATGACAAGGTGTCATGCATATAATGTTCTAGCTCCACACCCTCCATTTGAGTGTTTTACCTGTAATGTCTCCACCATTGTGTCAGGGTACCCTCCTAACTAATGTCAACCATAATACCCTTGATAAGACCAATTCTGCAAACAAATTCTCAAGTTCTAATGTCACAAAGAAAATCTTGATAAACACACAAGATTTAAATTATTTCAAGCATCTTTTCAGAAAGCGGTAAGAGACTGAAACTCAACAGCAAAAATAAAGCAAGAAAAACAAGATTTAGAGACTATATAATAATACATGGTTCCAACTAACATTTGGATCAGTGAAAAAGTCAAAGGAAAAATAAAAAATTACCCGAAGAACAATAAAAAAAAAACAGAAGAAGGTTATCAGATTCAAGGGAAAGCAGTAAAATCAGTGTTGGGGAAAATTTATTGCGATACAGGCTCACATTAATAAACGACCAAAGAAAACTCTTAAATAAACAAATCGACCCTGAATCTGAAGGAATTACCAAGGGAGGTATAATCAAAACCAACGTTCAGAAGAATGTTTAAAATGGCAATAAATTGTCAAAAATCCAGCCACATAGCTTCCCTAATTGCAACTTCCTTTACAGATTAACGTTTTCTATATAGAACCTTGAAATAAATTCAGGCACAAGTTTGAGGGAATCTTCATAGCCAATGACTTGTATTCAAGTTCTATGGAGGTAAAGGGATCACAAATAGACAGCAGTATATATTCAAAATTTTTATTTTTCATTATTTTGTTTTTTTTTTCAATAGCTGATGGTTGCACATACATGGCTGACGTGCTCACACGCTTATTTGTGATGCTCACATGCTTTGGTGCTTGCACTTTGTTGTAGACCTGGGGATCACAAATAGGACTACCACTGGCCTTGCATTTCACTTATTGAGTAGTGCTGGAGTTTGAATTCATGGCCCCATTCCTACAAGGCAGGCACCTTACCACTGAACCATATCCTAGGGCCTTATATTCACAGTTTTATACCAGGACCGCATAAACTTTTGACTTTCTGTTAGGATCTGAATTGTGAATGTATGGATATCATGCAAAATTTCACTGTGGTCACCTATATTGTCCGTACCATGCTAACCAAGTCAGATGAGTAAGAAATAGCTTACATACTAGAAAGTTGGTTAAGAAGCAAGCGCCCCACGACTGAAACCTCATGGGAAGGGGGGCGTTTCCGGCTCGTCCTTCACGCCCTGCTGAGGTCATGAGTTGCACCCCATGGCTCCAGAAGCAAAAGGACTTAATGCAGAGTCCGGCAGCTTGCGGCAGAAAAGTGAATGGACTATGCATTAATCCACACCACCATGCCTGCCTGGAGGGGAAAGGGTGTTGCTCCCTTCCACCTTTTTCCCTCTGGAAAGAAAGATGGCAGCCACTTCAGAGCTCTGTGGAAATCCAGGTATGAGCGGGTCATGATGGGGCGACTGAAACCTCATGGGAAGGGGGGGAGTTACTGGCTCGTCCTTCGCGCCCTACAGAGGTCACGAGTTGCTCCCCACAAGCAGCTCTCCAGCACGGCCATGGCTCCAGAGCACAGAAACCAATCTCATAATTATCTGACTCTCAGCGAAATACTTCCAGGCTTAATAAGTAAAATACCAGAAATCCAAAATTGCGCAGCCGCTATTACTGCCGGGTGACCTAATTTGATTCTTGTAACCAGCTGTAGAAAACAAATTATTTCACAATGCCTTTTCAGCATGTCTGATTTGGGGGTGTAAACTCTAAATAATAATAGTGCATCTTTTGTTGAAACAATGAATCTAATCAAAGTCGATAGAGTGTTAACTAGAATTCATCTGCCTCACAGGCATTGGGAGGGTTGGGAGGGAGGGGTTTTTTGGGGTTCTTGGTGGTGAAAAATAAATATTGGTGAAGGGAAATGTGTTTGATAATTGCATGACCGAGACTTAAACCTGAAAGCTTTGTAACTTTTCCCACAGTGATTCAATAAATAAATTAAAAAATAAACGAAAGAATAAATCGATCAAACAAGGAAACAGGAAAAAAAAAAAGAAGCAAGTGCCCCAAAGTATCTGAGGTAAACATTGACTCAGATGTCAGCCCCATATAGATATTATCTGAGTCGGCATTCATGAAAATGAACTGCAACAGGGTTTGTCATTAACTCTAAAGATAATGGAACTATTGTTACAATATTTCATGCAGACAACAGTAAATTAAGGCAAAATAATGTTAACATTAGTCAGGATTAAGGAAAGTTTGGTTTATCTTTTATTAGGTTCTTTATCCATTTTATATCATTTTGGTAACCACTGACTGACAATTGCTCATATGCAAAATTTATTAGGCAAAAGTACAGTTTGATTATATCTCACTGGTTGTGTCTGTTCACTATCCTCCTAATTTGTTCGAATCCTGTGGATGAGTTATTTCAAAAGAGTCTTTTTCCTTCATCAGTCTTTTTCATTCATCAGTCTTTTCTATTCATCAACTTTTTCATTCATCAGCTTTGGATGTTTGGGGGTTTAAAAGTTTACTAGCCATAGATAATTTTACTACTGCTCCCAAATACACAAAGGCTGTTCAATCCAGAATACTTTGTCAAGATCTGTTGTTCTCTACAGGTAAAATCTTTAGAGAATTTGATTGGTCCTTTGCTTTGAAAGACTCTTGGGTATTACACAGTACATTCCTAGCCTGCTTGATGAAAATTAATGTTGTTCCTCAAGTTTGAGAAGTCATTTTAGGCAGTCATTAGTGAATTTTTTCCTAACTACTGTAATGTCTTGGGACCATAAATTTTTTCCTATTCTAAAAAAAAAAAAATTCATTTGAGAATAAAGTAGACAAATTTACCAATATATGCCTGATTAGATATTTATTTAGGTGAAGTGATTGTTTTCTTTAGAGCTAAGTTATTACATTTGTTTTGATTGTATAATATAAACCAAGAAAACTATCTGATATTCTCTCTATTTATCTTTCCTTCTTCACCAAATCTGTTCGGAACTCATAATATGCTTAAGAGATAACATAAATAAGTATTTCAAGGATAAAAAAATCATGAGTTATAGTCATAAAGTTGCCAATTTAAAAGATATGTCTTAAGCTAAATAAAAAGTTAGTTGGTATTGAGATAAAATTCCTGTAGAGAGATCAAGCTCTCAAATAATCTTGATGTCATAAGCTAGTGGTCCTCCAATGGAAAATCCCAGGTAAAAAGACACCTTTTCTATGCTTCTGCCACTTCTAAGCTGACCAAAGAAAGCTGGTGTGATGGGTATTGTTATTTTTTCGTTGATTCCATATTCTATGTATACACAATTATTTTCAGCTCGTCCCTTTAAAGGAAGCAAAAGGTCTTGGACTTTTCTCTCTTTCCATACATCTCCATTCTGCCACAAGGAATTAATATCAGTCTTCCCAAAACATTGATCAATTTTTCCTTTGTGAACAAGTCTGTTTATATTTCTACCTTTCCCAAGAAAGAAATATGCAATTGGTTGTTTTGTACGATACATATGTCTATATGTCCCCCTGAAAGAAGTTTCCAGTGAGTGAGCATACTTTTCCATTTGTTTAGAATCTTGATCTAAATTTTGGGTTTCTGGCCAGAATAAGAGGGAAGCTAAGAAGTAAGGTTCTGGACATCGATAATTTGTTCCCACTTGTTGTAGAATTTCTCGAAGCTGCTCTTTCAACTTTTTAACTGGGCTGAATAATTTGGAAGAAGCTTTAACACAGCAGAGAATAATGTTGGCCAAGATGAAATTTTGTTTTTCCTTTGGTTGAATCCTGACAGCACATTTTTCCAAAAAAAAAGAATATTGTTTCACTATATATTCCATGGTTTCTATAGTATAGTTTTGATTTTTGACAAGATATCCCAAAAGCCCAGAAAATTTGTCTGCTTTTAAACCTTCTAGTTTACTCCGAAACAACTCTAGCTGAAGTGGCAAACTGAGATTTGATCCAAAATCTTTGTTTTTTGTTTCATGAAAGAGATCAAATATATCTCCATATTTCTTAAAATATCCAGCCACCTTTCCCCGAGTTTTATCTTGTTCATTTTGCTTAATGTTGTTTCTGGGTTTTAAAAGAACAAAATAATCATCAAAAAACCCAAAACATTTTTTCAAAGAATGCCGCAAATTAGTTAGATAAGGAATAAAATTGTTGAGGGCTAACTTAAATTCATTGTTGGCATCTCCAGGAATAGCACTACTACCTGATATAAAATTGATCATATCTTTTTTAAATAGTTCATTTTTATTGTCAAAAAAAGGAATAAGCTGGAGAATCTGAATTGTGTAGAGTCCAACTTCTATCTCCCCTTGATAACCAGCTATATTGTAAGTATCATACCGCCTTTTGGATTTCTTATGAAACTTTTCCTTCGCTTCACATTCTTTATATTCACTTTGCCTTTGAGATTCCTTAAATGCATTTGAGGCATCTACTGCTAATTCTAAAAGCATAGTTAGATCAGCAACTGAAATAGTTCTGTTTCGTCCATTATCATCTATCCACCATCTTATTTTACTTTTGTAGACTTGACCTAGTGTGTCTGAGATATAAGAATTGTAAGGTTCTATGTTCTTTGCCTTTTTTGCCCATTTTAGAGCACTTTCAAAATCTTTTTCTTTAATGTAAAAGTGTCTTGCTAAAGCCTGGCAAATGAAAGCATTTTGTTTGAACCGGTCAATACCTTCAATCAAAACTTCTTTAACTGCCTCATTTCCTTCATCTTTGTGTAATGCTTCAATGAATGGGGAAAACCAAGTTTCTGTTTCACCTTCATGTTCATTGCGTTGTCTTGTGAGCAACAGTGTGTGCATATCTTGGATGAATTTTGTTCTTCCTATACCTCTATCATAGAACAAATTTTCCCTTAGCATATTCAACATAATTCGGCTTTTATTCAAGTCATAGCTTAGCTTCAATTCTTCCAAGGAGCGAATAGCAATTAAAGGATGAATAATACGCACTCCACAGTAGTTCCCACATTCTACCACATCTGTTTTTATCAGAATTGTAGAGTAGGTGCCCATCTTGTCTTCAAGTTTCTCTGGTTCCCAGAAAACCTTCCTGTTTGTGATTCCTAAAAACTGTTCACACTGTGATAGTGAAATAGTTGTCTCTGGCACATATGAATTGAGAAGAGCCAAAAAAGAAAAGAGCGTTGCTTCTTTGGTGCTGATGTCCTGCTTTTTCAGGATATTATTTACCACATTTTCTATGTACCTTTTATCAAAATTGGTTTTCATGATCATGAAAGAATAAAAGTCTTTAAAGTTTTTATGTTGCTTTTCAATTTCTTTCAATTTACGCTCAAAAGCCCTCTGTTCATTGGGAGATAGTTGTTGTATTAGGGCAATACTATTTGAGAAGTTCTTTGCACAGTTTTGAGGATTCTGTGATCTCATGCAATTTAGGATGATTACTAAAGGTTTTTCATATCTAATATACTTATTAGAAATAGCTTTTTGAATAGAGGACTGTAGGAGATAGACATTTTCTTGTTCTTCAAAATCATCAACAAGGAGCAATACAGGTAAGTATTCCTGATGACTCGTCCCATATGTAATTAAATCAGTAATTTGTTTTCCAATTTCAGAAAAATCCACTGTCTTGTTTTTTAGAACAGCACATCTGAATTGATTCCTTAGATCCCAGAGAATATGCATAGCCAAGGTGGTCCCACCACAGCCTGGATGATGATACAGCTGAATAATTTTGACACATGTTGATTTAGGAGAATCTGAGTTTTGAATCATATCTTTAAGTTTTTCATATTTATCCCTTTTGACAAAAGTTGAAGAATAGTGTTTCAAAGAAAAATAAAAGTTCCACCAAGATACTTTACCACCTCGATAAAAGTCTTCCTCTTTTAATGTCTTGAATGTGTGGAATTTATTTTTGTCCTTTTCTAAGAGAGTACCTTCACATTCATTTTCACAGAGAATTTCCAGAGCAGTCATGATATCTTCTTCCTTTTTAAGAAGTACAGTAGTTGAGCCAACAGATGGCAAAAATTTTTTTTCAGGTTGAGTCACAGATTTCAATTTAAGAATAGTACCATTTATCTCTTCAAGGCTTAAAGCAGAAATGCACTGGTTTGCTAATTCATCTTGTGGTATTTTTAATCTTGCTTCAAGTAGATCCTTCCATCTCTGACATAGGTGTGAGTTAAGACAAATACACAATATATTTTCAAGTCCTTTGAGATCTTGGTAAAAAGCACAGAAGGTCTCAATAAGGGGGTCTCTTGGGTCATCCACAGAAGAAAGCAGCAGAAATACTACTAAAAACTTCCCCCTTGGCAATACGTCTTCATGTGTAAGAAATGAAATCAATTTCCTGACTTCAGAAGCCTTTTCTCTTTGCCAGGAACTTGGGTCTAAGGGCTTATATTTATCACTGTCAAGGTCTAATCTACCATTGCAGAAAATCCAGCTGGGTTGTTGGTGAAGATTCAGTTCAGTAATCTTCTCATCTGTTGTAGTTTTCTCCTCCACATATTGACTTGGAAAGTGAAGGTTTGCTACTCGACTTTCTTTATAGGCTTTGACTACTCCCTTGCTTGCAGATTCAGGATCAAACTCCAAAGCAGCAAACCATTTAATTTCCTTTAGGAAATCCAAATGATTTACTTGATTTTGATGGCATTTATTTGTTACAAGGATGTATAAACTGTAGTATGAATTATCTAACGAGTCCTGATTTCCTGTCAACATTCTAACAAGCTTTGGTCCCTCACTCTCTTTTTTGCTTGTTTTTAGTCTGGAGTTTTCTTCTGCCTCTTTTCTAGATTCCGCTAATGATTTTAAATCTAATTTATATGCTCTGAAGTCTGCATTATTTTTTATGAGGTCCTTACAGCTGGCACCATCTCTCACAAAGACTGAAAATCTTGGACTTCTATTCCAGGTATTATTGTTGAAATTTTGCATTTTAATCTGGAAATAATCATGTTTACATTCAGAGTATTTTGGAATGATATCCACTTCAATAACATATTTGTTAGATGGAGTACTGTCTGACGGTAAGACTTCTACAAATCTTGGTGTTCGTACACAGTTCTTTGCTTTTTGGACCTGGCCCTCTTCAAAATACTGGTCGATTATCTGGTTGAAGTGGTCTATGAGGGCTTCCTTGGTGATAGCAGTGAATCTGACACCAATAATTTTTCCATGGGGCTTGTCTTCGACTCCAAAGTGAATTGTGCCATTGGTACGTGAATTCATACAAGCTGAAGCAAATCGAAAAACCTCGTTGCTAAATTTCATTTTAATATCCTCTTCTGTGCCCTTTTCTATATTTTTGAAGGCTTTGAATTCATGTATTGGATCAATAAGATTGAGTGGTCCGGTTTCAGGCTGTAGAATAAAATTCTCTTTGTACCGATATGGGTCATTGAATTCATCAAAAGGGTATGCTATGCATGTCACTTCTGTAGAGACCTGTTTTTCCTGTATATCATCTTCTATGAACTCATTTTTGAGTGACTTAGAACCTTTGGCTACTGTGTGTGTTGTAGCAGTGCCAACTGTATGTGATTTCTCTTTATCCTTTTGCTTTTTCTTTGACTTTTCTTCATTTTCACTTTGACTCAAAGTTTGTACTTCAGGAATATTTTTACTGTTTGTTTTCCTCTCATGTGTCTGGATAGAATTTTCAGAGGATGTTTTTTGAAATTCTTTGAACAAATTTTCTATTTGGATAGCTGGTCCATGTGGTATACCCATATCAACAAGAGCCATTTTAGTTAACCACTTCAAGACAACTCCTTTCACATCTTGTGCAACCAAGATTTCTCTGTATTTTTTGTCAATGTTATGTTTTTCTAGCCATATATTTACATCCTCTTTTGTCCAGTCATCTGGATTTTCTGATAGATTCGGTAGTGCTGCCATTATTTTACCTGAATGTAAAAAAAATTATATTTATTATTTTTATAAGTAAAAATCAGTTACTTTTTCCAACAAATGGTCCTATTTCTTAAATTTATAATTGCCTATTATAGTCATAGTACAAATGACCGTGATTATGCTCCTAAGAGAAAGTTACCATTACTAGTTCTTTTGTATCCTTCTAGACAAATACTATCAAATACAAATATTTCATCTTCCAGAGAAATGCTACCAAATACAAATATTTAACCCATACAAATGGCAACATATCAAACATTTTTCTCATTTTTCTTTTTTCACTAACTGTATCTTGGAGATAATTTCAGTCAGTTTATAAGAGAGGTTTCATCATTGTTAATTTTTTTTTTGCAATAGTATGTGTTGTCTGTATTACTTAAAATTATTCCATTCTGCTTGGACTGGAGAGATATTAGAGTGGTTAAGAAATTTACTTTGTATGTAGGTGACCATGCTTCGATCTCCAGCATGATGTATGGTACCCTGAACTCCATGAGAAGTGATCCTTAAGGATGGAGCCAGGACTAAGCCCTGAGCATTGCCAAGTATGGCCCCAACTTTCTCCCACCAAATTCAATTCTGCTGTTAAAATTTTTAAAAAGATAAACAATGGAGACTACATAAAGCTAAATGGAGGAAAATGTATAAAACAGGGTGTATAAAATTAGGTATAAAGTAATACTTTCATAATTTATGAAAGGCATTAACAGAAGTAGAGGAATGGAGCACACACTGTTAAACATAGTGAGGAAGCAATAAGAAAGCCATGTAGATATTAGATATTCATGAGGTATACTTGAAGCACTTAATATATTTGAAGTTTCAGTTGGGTTGTCTGTTGCAATAGCCAAACACCCACTTCTGATCCTTTTCATTTCACCACTCAAGAAACAAATATAAAATCCAGAGTATGTTGTCAGGCTAACTGATGAGCTACAGCTTTGGTCAGGCATATATAGCTCTTTGTTTTGTGATTATAATGAGTCTCTGCCAGTGTCCACGATTTATATCTGTCGAATCCATTGACTTACCTAGAATCTGGTAAAATAACCTAAAATCCTAAAATATCAAAATCACTTACCTAAAATCCTAAAATGTCAAAATTATAAAATCGAGAATGTTTATAAAACAGGGGCAGAAAGAGAATAAATGAACAAATAGTTTAGGTAATGAGATCCTTCTACTTTTACTGCAACTTACCTAATGTATATTACCCATTCATTTGTCCCTACTTTTGGGGGGTGTATTTTAATGAAAGTAATAGGGCATGTGCCTCAAGCATATAAAGAAAGATGTTCTGTGTGCCATTCTGCTCCACTGCTTTGAGATAGTTTGCTGGATTGTTTGCTGGGTACTGAATTATGAGGATACTATTTTGTCAAGTTACTTTTCACATAGTAATTTATAGAAGCTGGGTCCTGGTTGGGAACAAATAAATGACTTTACTTGTAGAATTTGCCACCACCACAAGAAATGTTCAAAGAATTCTTTCACATGAAAAAAGAAACAGAAGCTAACAAAATCTTCAGCAATGGTCAAAAGATGGCATAAACCAACCTAAATGCCCATTGACAGACGGTTGAATATATAAGTTATAAAATATGATTCTGGCATTAAAAAAGAGAAAATTTATCTTATGGAAAAAATTGATGTTCCTGGAATGATAGTGTGAAATGAAATGGAATGAGCTAAAAAACAATCACGAGATGGTTTCACTCATATGTGAAATATAAATGACTAACTCAAATAAGCTAGTAAAAAAGAACAAAACTAACTACTAGACTTTGCAAAACTTATGGTGGTCACTAGAGCAAAAGGGGAAGAAGGAAAAATAATGAGGAAAGGTGTTATTTTGGTGATGGGAATGGTGACAATTAAACATACATGAAAGTTTGAAGCTTTACTCTTGGAATGCTATACACTGTAAGCCAATTATAAGGCAAGAAGAACAACAAAACAACTGTGCATCAAAAGATTCAAAGAACAGAATGAAATGACAAGTGGTAGAAAATATTTGTAAGTCATATGCCATATATCTAGTAAGAGATTAATAAAGAGTTATGCAAAATGGATAAACTGAACAATAAGAAGTCAAAAAACCCCACATAAACCAATTTAAAAACAGCTTAAGAAAAATTTATCCATAATCCCTTCCCACTATAAGAGAGAATAGTATAACCTGTGCTGGACGGAACCGAGCCCATTGTTTGGCAACAAAACTGAACGGCTCCTGGCAGTCTCTCCTCATTCAACCAGGTACAGCCTGCCCCAGGGCTTGAGACTCCCCCAGGGAATGCGCAGCTAGCTTGATCCCCTAGAATTGCCGGTTTTCTCCCTTGACCTGCGTAGGACGGGAACTGAGGCAACATCAGATCCCGCCGCAACAAAGCTGAAGGGATCCGGGAACTCTCTCCTCACTCAACCAGAATAGTAACAGTGAAGGTGAAGGACTAAAGCACACTGGTCACAATGGTAAAGCAACACAAAAGCCCACCAAACTTTCTTATTGAAGAGGCAAGCCCAGAAGACACCAACAGTATTGTAGTATTAGACAACCTCTCTGACAAGGAATTCAGAAGGGAGCTAGTTAGGATGCTTAGGGAACTAAAAGAAACAATGGAAAGAATGCCAATAAAAGACAAGAGGATTTGAAGGCAGAAATGAGAAAAATGCAATCGGAAATGTCAGACCTGAAAACCCTGGTAGGCGAATTGAAAACCTCAGTGGAAGGCCTCAGAAGCAGAGTAACAGCTGCTGAGAACAGAATCAGTGAGCTTGAAGATGAAGTTCAGAGACTCGCCAGAAAAGAGCAGAAAATGGAAAAGAGACTCACAGTTCGGGAACAGATGGCAAGAGAAGATCGTGATGAAGCCAAGAGGGGTAACATAAGAATTATTGGAGTCCCAGAGGGACAGGAAGAAAACCCTGATGAAGAAGAAACTGTCAAAGACATCATTGCTACAACATTTCCAGAGCTGAAGAAAACTTGTGACCACATTCAGGAGGCCCGAAGGGTACCAGCTAGAAGAAATCCGAACAAAAATACCCCAAGACACATCCTGATCAAAATGACCAAAACTTTAGACAGAGACAAAATTCTGAAAGCAGCAAGATCGAAAAAAGAAATCTCTTACAAAGGAGCATCCTTAAAATTCACAGCTGATTTTTCTGATGAAACCCTCAGGGCCCGAAAACAGTGGTGGGACATAGTGAGAAAACTCAATGAAATAAATGCCTCTCCAAAAATACTTTACCCAGCGAGACTTTCATTCATAATAGAAGGAACAACACACAGTTTCACAGACAAACAACAGATCAGGAACTTCATAGACTCAAGACCATGGTTACAAGTACAACTAAATGGGCTACTTTAAGACAGGACAGGCCCCTCAAATACACCTAATTTCAACAGAACAATGGGACAAAAATCCCATAACAGTAATCTCTCTCAATGTCAATGGGCTAAACGCACCAATTAAAAGACACAGAGTGGCTGGATGGATTAGAAAATTGAACCCAACATTCTGCTGCCTGCAAGAAACACACCTTAATAGTCAAAGCAAACACAGACTCAGAGTCAAAGGCTGGAAAACAATCCTACAGGCAAACAGCTCCCATAAAAAAGCTGGGGTAGCCACCTTAATATCAGACCACATCGATTTCAGAGTGAAGAAGGTCATAAGAGACAGTGAAGGCCATTTCTTAGTGATCAAAGGATGTGTACAACAGGAAGAACTTACAATAATAAATGTATATGCACCTAATGAGAGACCAGCAAAGTACTTAAAACAACTACTCATAGATTTGGAAAAAGACATCAATAGCAACACAATACTAGTGGGAGACTTCAACACAGCTTTGTCACCTCTGGATAGATCAACCAGACTCAAACTTAGCAAGGACATACTTAATCTGAGGGAAACAATGGAAGAAAGGGACTTAGTAGATATATACAGGACACTTCATCCTCAAAAGGCTGAATACACATTCTTCTCAAGCGTACATGGAACATTCTCCAAGATAGACCACATGCTGAGCCACAAAACATGCCTCCATAAAATTAAGAAGATAGAGATTGTATCAACAATCTTCTCAGACCACAATGCACTTAAATTAGAAGTAAATCACGCACAAAAACAGAAAACTAAATCAAACACCTGGAAATTAAACAGTGCGCTACTGAACAATGAGTGGCTTAGAATGGAAATCAAAGAGGAAATCAAAAGATTCCTAGAAACGAATGAAAATGAGGACACGAGTAACCAAAACTTATGGGACACAGCAAAAGCTGTCTTAAGAGGAAAGTTTATAGCTCTACAAGCATTCCTCAGAAAGGAGGAGTGAGCCCACATAAATAAACTAACCTCACAGCTTAAGAGCTTGGAGAAGGACCAACAAAAGGAGCACAACCCGAACAGGAGGAAGGAAATAATAAAACTCAGAGCAGAGATTAACGAGATGGAAACCCATAAAACAATCCGAAAGATCAATGAAACCAAGAGCTGGTTCTTTGAGAAAATTAACAAGATCGATAAGCCTCTAGCAAAACTCACAAAGAAGGGGAGAGAGAAAACCCTAATAAACCGAATCAGAAATGAAAAGGGGGTCATCACAACAGAAACTACAGAAATTCAAAGGATCCTCAGGGAATACTTTGAGAAGCTTTATGCCACGGAACATCAAAACCTCGAGGAAATGGATAAATTCCTAGACTCCTACAGACTCCCAAGGCTGAACCAAGAAGACCTGGAATACCTGAACAGACCTATCACCATCAAGGAAATTGAAATGGTAATAAAACGTCTCCCCAAGCACAAAAGCCCTGGCCCGGATGGATTCACTAGTGAATTCTTCCAAATCTTTAAAGAAGACTTACTCCCAATCCTCTTTAAGCTTTTCCACGAAATTGAAATATCAAAAACACTTCCGAATAGTTTCTACGAAGCGAATATCACACTGATACCAAAAGCAGACAGAGATACCACAAAGAAAG